GCTTTGTTCATGTTTGAGTATTTTAAGCCTAAAACTCTTCCAGAATTTGATAGTTACAAAACCAGTACTGTTTCTGCCGACTTGGCCAACCTTTTAAAGAGACTGCTACAATCGTTCCTCGAACAGACAAGCCTATGCTGAGCCTAGATACTGTTTCTGCCTATATTGAAGGAACATGCAGCAAGGTATAAGTAGTTGCTTTAAAAAAAAAAAAAAGTTACTGTGTTTTCTTTGTTGACTTTCAAATAGTTAAGGGAATGATTTATTCAATAATACTGGATTTCCTCAGATAATTGCATTTAAATGAAATAAGAATGATACCACTGAAGTTTCTGGTATTGAAATGGCAAGATGTAATGTCGATTAATATGGAATCCACGTGTGATGTTCATTAGTGCTTCTCAGTGCTCTGTAAATCTGTGGAATGCTTTCACTATCTTCATATTCAATCCTTCATATTCTGTGATAAAAAAGACTACTTTCACTACAAGGAAGAAGCAAACGTTCATCTCATTAACATGTACATTTTATTTATTTCCAGGCACCATCTCTCCCAGATGGGGCAGACTATTCTCCACCGGTGGTGACTGAGTTGTATTACCTTCTGGCAGACTATCATTTCAAGAATAAAGAACAGTCTAAGGCCATCAAATTTTACATGCACGACATTTGTATTTGCCCAAACAGGTCAGTGATTGTTTGAAACTAAAACCAAAAAATGAAAGAGCAAGGTGAGGAGAGGGGGAAAGCGAAGTTAAAATCAAGATTGACTAGCAGGGGTGGGGACTGAATCAGTCATGCTCTTCTACACCTTTAGTCTTTGTTTTGTTGTGTTCATACATGTCAAAGAATAAAAGACTTCACTGTTCAGAGGTGTAAGGGATACAAATAGCAGTCTCTGCTGGATTAGCTGTTAGGCTGACCTCTTCCGGAAACTGTTTATCTTGCTTAAATAGTTTATGTTTAAACTAGTTTCTTGATAATTTATAGTGTACTGAAATACCACCAAGGTTGTCTTTCATCTTAAAAAATTAAGTATGTTTTGAATGAATTTTCTAAAATGAACTGAAGCAATTTTAAGCTTATGGATTAAATTTAGGGCTTGCATGTGGATGTTCAATCATTTCAGTTCTCACTGAAGTTGATAGACATGTCAATGACAAAACCCTAGTGTAATGTCTTGAGAAAGAAAGCTATTCCTAAATCGAGTCACATAACAGACAAAATGGAAGGTGAAGGCACAAAGCAATTTAGCATGTGAAATCTACAGAGGAAATAGACATATTTCCATGTTATTGAATCTTCTAGCCTGGGAACTGATTAGCAGATTGCTAGAACTTTAGTTTGGAGCCTGATATATTACAAAAAAAATAAAATAAAAAATTCTCTAGAGAATTTTTATAGATATCAAATGATAGTGCACTTTGAATTTATTGTGTGTAGTTCTGTTGTTCTGAAGAACATACTTTGTATGGTAGCATAGTATTTTACCCTAGTCATCTTAGATATTATTTCTTCAAATGTCTGTATTATCATTTCCTTAGGGAATCTTTCTATTTCACTTGACCCAGAAATGAGGTTTCAATTGAAATTAGCAAGAAATAACAAGCGAAACTGTGAGGACATTATTTTTCCTTTGGAGTTATAATTGTGGTTAAAAAAAAAAATTGAGAACCATTGACTTCAGATGTTAGTATGAAATTAAGAAATAGGGAAGCCATCTCAGACTGTATTGTCAGTGATCTAACTGGATGCTGAACATTCCTCAGAAAGCAATCTTTTTGTTTATCAGAATTTTCTTATATGAATGCACTTTGGTTTTTGTGATTTTTATGTTGGAAAATAATAGTGACGATAAAGACCATTCACAGTTCAGCCCAGTAATACAAAATGTCATGGTAGCTGCTGGGCTACAAGTCAAGGGTGACAGTGTTTGGACAGGATGTGATGGCTACTAAGAAAAGAAATCAATATCTAATGGCAGCATTCCCATTGTACTTTTCGTAGCAAATAAATCCAGATATTTCCCGTTTTTTCAAGTGAGAGAATTATTGGGTGTGGTGTTTATGAGGAAACAATTTTTAAATGAATCATTGTGATTTAGGTTTATACAGAGTCTTTTTGACTATGAGAGGAGGAGATGCACAAATCTGTTTTGAGAGAGCACATGATGAAAGAAAGAAAAAGTTGTGAATAATGAAGTGGATCATTGTCTTTGCCATCAGTGTTATGTGTGGGGGGAGATTACTGATGTGTTTTTTTCTTGCTTGCATAGTTGATTCATGGGCTGGCATGGCTCTGGCTCGGCAAGTCGTATTCAGGACAAATTAAACTCTAATGAACTGAAAAGTGATGGCCCCATCTGGAAACACTCTACTCCTGTCTTGAATTGCTTTAAGCGCAGCCCTAGAGATTGACAGCTCTAATCTCTCCTTGTGGATAGAATATGGCACCATTTCCTATGCCCTGCATTCTTTTGCATCCCGACAGCTTAAGCAGTGGAAAACAGAACTCCCCCTGAAGTTGTGCAGCAGGTGGATATTTGAGCAGTGTGATGTTTAAAATGTTTAAGTGGCCTTTCCTAACATAAACTTTTTAAAAAAATAAATATTTAAATGCTATACACCACCTATTAGACTGTATAGCTACTTAGTAGTATTGGAAATTCTATTATTAAGCATCTGGCTCAAACACTGTTTAAAGGGGTTTGTGTTTTTTTTTCCCTGCATAAAATTAATTTCAGCCTGATCTTTGAATAATCTTTCAAAGATTATACAAAATGATGATAACCTTTTGGAAAGGGAATTATTTTTACCTTACCTTTCTGTAAATGTCATACAATGTTTCCAGGAAAAGGGTGAAATGCATACATGTTTAAGTAGTGAAAAGATTAAGTATTACTCTATTACTCTGGTATCTGCTGTTCATGAGTCATCACTTGAATCTAAAGGTATCTGTTTTCTATGTTTTGGCGCTATTTACTTAAGCAAAATATCAGAATAAGGAACTTATATACTTTCATAGAACAAAAGTTGTTTAAATTTGTTAGTCATTTGTAATAGCTATAACATCACATATATATAATATATATATATATATATATATGAAATTTATGCTGAATCAAAATGAGCATTTCCTGATACTCTCTCTGACCTTAGAGTTGCTGGGAGAATGTTTCATCTGTCTTTTTGACCAGTAAACTCAAGTTCTGACTTAGTATTTTCTGAGTCAGTTATGTAGTTCTGTACTTCATAGTTATGTAATGCAGAACTAGAAGCAGAATGAAAAAAAAAAGTGCTGCAGTGCTGCTAGTGAGTGACTGTTGTGATTTATAGAACTTAACAAGTGTTCAAATACAGACAATGGTAATGGTAATTCAACTTCCTGAAGAATTCTGGGATAATGCTGAAGTTATTTCACATTGTCAGACAAAAGTACAATAGGGGCTTCATCTGAAGTTGTGGATTAAATCAGAATTGTTATTTGTTTTGTCTTCTTGAACCTGCTTTTTTCAAGTGAATGTATTAAAAAGGCATAATTTGTTAACAGAAGTTCTATTATATTACAAGATAAATTTGAACAATGTAATCTTCCTTCTGTGAATATATCTATTTGGGAATGTGTTCCTCATACACAAAACACTGAAAACATTTTAAATGAGGTACCTCATTTATGTGCTTTTTTGTGCAGAAGTGTATTTTTAGCATTTTTTTTCTCAGCCACAGTGGACTCATGTATTCTCAACACTTCATTCCATCACAGATGGAAGAACGTCGAGACAGTATGCTGGAGACAGCCAAACTGTGCTTTACGTCAGCATCTCGCTGTGAGGGAGATGGCGATGAAGAAGAGTGGCTTATTCACTATATGCTGGGAAAGATTGCGGAGAAACAGAAACAGCCTCCTGTTGTCTATCTGCTTCATTACAAACAGGCAGCTCATTACCTTCATGAGGAGGCTGCCCGATATCCAAAGAAGATTCACTACCATAATCCACCAGAACTTGCCATGGAAGCATTGGAGTAAAAGGAGAAAGTGAAATACCTAGACTTGAAAGCATTGTTCTCTACAGATAGCGTAATACCAGTTATTATTATTGATTTATATTATGAAGCATGCAGAGCATATATGGTGCTCTGCATTTGGCAACATTTACAAGATCAACTCAGAGAATTAAGTGAAGTCTGTTACTCAAGTTGTTTCTGTTTTCAAGACAGCTTACGTATATGTTGGACAGAATTTCCACTTCTGGATTTTTCTGCACACAGCCCCTTAGGCAGTTTTTACAGAAATCAAGTGTGGATAGATTTCACAAGTTTCTCGTACCTATGAGAGTATAAGTTTATGCATGAGAATTAGAACAGTAGTCATAACACCTTTGCTTTTACTGTGTTGTATGGTTTAAAAACAAAAAAAAGTTTATCTGGATCATACCCAGTGGTGACTAGTCCATGTCTGCTTTCACTGTTATATTCCATAGGTTGCAGTTATAAATTTTTTACAGTTTTCAGATTCTGTTATTTGCAAGCAACTTACAAAGGCAAGAAAGATCCTGTTAAGGTAAGTTTAGGTACCAGATGCCTGTCTATACTAACTCATGCAGTTTCTACAGAGAATGGTCTATTTGTAATTATTTGCAGAGCTGTGTATTCTCTATTGACTAAATGGACTTCGGTGTTTTTTAGGTGTACTTTCGACTTCATGCTTCTATTTTGAAACTTGTGGGGAAACCAGACTCTGGAGTAGATGCAGAGATACTAGTTAGTTTCATGAAAGAAGCTTCTGAGGGACCATTTGCCAGGGGTGAGGAGAAGAACACCCCAAAAGCTGCAGAAAAGTGAGTGCTGATTTCCAGGAATACCATCTGAAAGCAAATTTCCAAACTACTGAATAATAATCTGTTAAAATGGGTTTGAATGAAATATAAACCAATAAAGTGACTAGAATTAGTTTTAGTGTTTGTAGTTTTCAGCTACTGTGTACAGTTAAAGCTCAGTTAATTGTCACAACATAGATGGGAAGGGAACAAATGGAACAATTTTGTTCTTATGATCCATTTTGAAACAGCTATTTTACTTATTAATAAAATTGCTTTTGCGTTTTTGATAGTTGATAAAAAAAAAAAATGCTTTCATTTGGAAGGTTAAGAAACTTTAGTCCTTGTAATTTGTCATCCTAACAAGTAAGATGAATGTTTTACTTCCAAACAGCGGGGGGGCATGTACTCAAAGTCCATCATTTAGAATTTGTTAGTAAGTTTTGATTACTGTATTGGAGATGCCATAAGAACGTGTAATCTCTTTTCATTCTTTGTATATGTTACCAGCATATTAACATGGCTTTTTCTCCCCCCCTCCCAGAGAAAAAGCTTGCATGATTGATGAAGACTCCACTCTTCAGCTGGAACAGTGCCAGGCCCTGGGACTTCCCTCCCCTCCTCCTCCGGTCCAGGTCTGACATCCCCACCTTACACAGCCACTCCAGTTGACCACGATTACGTCAAATGTAAAAAACCCCGTCAGCAGGCAACGCCGGACGGTACAGTCCCTGTTCTCAATACTGGCAGCACAGGGAGGTGCTCTAATCATGGGGGGTTTGACCAGGAATGATCAAACTGCTCATTTCAAGGAGGGTGATGGGTCTGTGGTAACACGGGCAATATTGATGCTTTTTAAATTTCAGTGCTTTAAATAGAATCAATGTACAGTTGGTGCTTTAAATACAAAATTGAGTTGTCACCTGCCACCATTGGCACTTGTCACTTAATCAAAATGGGAATATTGAGGGGAAAAATATGCAGCTAATTGGATTTTCAGGGAGCTTTTTTATTTTCTTCAAAGCTAAATGTCTGAGCTTATTAGGAAAGATGTGGATTCGGACTTCAGAACACTGGACACTGTTTCAGTGCCTGTGTGAACTGACCAGGTGAAAATTTGAACCGTGGCGCTGAAACAAAACAAATTGTTTAAAAGGCAAAACAAAAGTGTTATTCATTTTAGAAGGAGGCAGGTGGCAACTATTTTGAATATATTGTGTATCAGCACGAAATGATTTGCATGACAGTCCAGTAGACTTCATCTTTTGATTTTTCTTTATCATTGACAATGACAGACTATGAACTCATCTTTGTAGGCTCTAGAGTGATATAAAGAATTGGCTTATAACAGTAGAAGGTAGGGTGGTATCATGACATAACTGAAGATTTTGCAATGTGTAGAATGTAATAGAAATGGAATTACTGTTCAAGTAACTTGACGCTATTATTGGATGAGAAATTTTATTCTTATTCTACTCCTCTGGCCATTTGTTTATCCATATCTCTCAAGAAGATGTAAAATAACCTCAATGTATAGCTTAGTGTTGGTAGAATGTGGCAGGGCCCCATAGAAGTGCTCTGCTTGATATGAATTTGTTTGTGGAGTGTGGGCTGCTTCCTGTTGTCAATTTCTGAAGAACAGTAATTTGTAAATAACTTTGACACGATTTTGAAACAAATGTTCACCTGCCTGGAAACTCTGCAAGGTGAATTTCTTTTCCCACAGAGTAATTCTTGGTGAAACTGACAGAAGTTCCTTCATTTCTTCCCCTAAATTGAATGTAGAAATGATAATTTTATCCAAGCTTACATTTAAATGTGAAGTAATTCGTTTGGCTGTTTTGATCTCGTATGTAATGTGTTAGTATACTGGTCAACTAACATTTGATGTCTTTGAAACAGTAAAAACAGAAGGGTGCAAATATTTCCTAACAGTATTCCCTGTGAGCAGCAGTTCTGCCTAAGACTACATCTGCCTAGTTCCTGCAGACAGTTGAAATGTTCCCAGAAGGCAGACAAGTTAAATGAATCTTCCAGTACATGTCATTAGTACGTTCACTCAGATAAGATATGATGAACTTCGGCAGGCTAACTGCCCAATGGGGGCAAAGCTGGCTGCTGAGCAAAGCCTGGAGGTGCAAGCTAAGGAATGGCTGCACCTGTCAGGGCTGAAGCAGCACTTCTAGGCTCTGCCAGCTTAACCTAGCTGGGACTCAGCTTTGCTGCTGTCACAGAAATTCAAAATGTTATCTTCTGAAAGAAGCAGAGTTAGGGTGATCTTTAGGAAGGCGGTGTACGTTTATGACAAGTAGAATTGGGAAGTATGGCATCATTCATAATGTTTTGTAAGCTGCTGGCAAAACTAAACTCTGGATACAGCATGTTGAAGAGCCCCAGGAAACTGAAAAATTTGCCTTGGGGCTGTTGCAGATGGAAGGAGAGCTAACAGGCTGAGCAGCGCTTGGAAGTCCTCTACCCTTATATTACTACATGTGCTGTGCTCCTCTGCATGCATTTGCATTTTACTTACATTAAAATACATACTTGTGAAGTAAAATGCTCTTGACAGCTTACACATAATCACATCACTGAAGAAAACTGGTGCCAGCATTTCCATTGTACTGTTCCTAAAAATAGCAAGAAAATATCCATCACTTGACTACTTATAGAATTTTTTTACCTGTTCTGACAGCAATTGGAACTGTCTTAAATATTGTTCACACATTGGATAATTTGGCCTAAACTCAGCCCAGATATTTATTCTTCCTGAGGCCTCACAATACTCTTATTTACTTTTATTCTTCTATTGGTATCATTGATCATATTTGACAAACACAGTGGGAGCATTTTACAGATTCTTACCTACAACATTTTCTTCATATGTTACAAGCAAACATACTTCTTGGTTCAGCAGTGATAGGGATCCTGTGAGACCTCCCTTTACCATTTCTGGGTGCTACACATGAGCCATGAGGAAAGAGAGAAAACTGGGATGGTTAGTCTTGGGACACTTGAATCTGGACACAAACAAAAAAAAAAGAGTTAAAATAATATTTGGAAATACTATTTAGCAAATAAAATTAAAACACTTTGTTCGTAGGGATCACGTAACATTGCAACACTTCAACACTGGATGTCTTGAAAAAGTGGTCATAGAGACATCTGCCAGGAATGGTGGTTTAATTTATCCTGAGGGAAAAAAGAATGGACTAGCTGAGTTTTTGAGGTTCCTTCCAATCTCTATTTTTCTATGAGTTTTATGTTCGTAGTTTTTTTTTTCCTTAAATGATAGATCCAACAACATGCCTTCTAGTGCAGTGAATTCTCATTACAAGCGCAACAGAATTACTGTACAGCCAGACATCCTTTCTTGAAAATGTTGGGACTCAGATCTCCAAGCATTTATCAGTAGACAGGTGAAGTTGTGAGGACAGGCTTGTTTTAGATGCGTGATATTTAAATGTGTCATTATACTTCTGAAGCTCTCCAGCACATTTTGATGGTGGAAAAAAGTGGTCATGATATAGAAATCGCTGTTACAGTTGAGTGCATTGAAGTGCTTTACATACGATGGTGGCTTAAAGGTAGATTTAATGGAAATGGGAGAAAGGAACCTGCAAGTACAGCCTGTGAAGTAACTGAACTTTTTTCCTCGTGGCAGCTGCTAGCACAGATCTTCAAGGAGATAAGTATTGTTCAGTTGCAGCTTTTATTTGCTGGCTGACTAGCTGCTGTCATGTGTAAAGTAGGCAGCTTCCTTTCTCCTTTCTTGTCCTTTTTTTACTTGCTCCATTCAGGAGCATTTTCCTTCCATCTGTTAATCCTGTCTTTTCTGTCATCACCCCTGCCTGTTGCTGTTTTATAACTCTCCAGAATGAAAACTTACATTTGATAGTAGAAGCCTGAGATTTAGACTTCTTCATCCAAGAGCAAACTAGGAAGCAAGAAGAATCAGGAACTCAGCAAGGGCCTAGGCTCAGTGTGTTTACAGACTAAAAGGCCAGTGTTACATATCAAAACAGACATGCTCATGGCCCTCATTTATGTGGCCTGGATGTGTGCAGTAATTAAAGACCTGTCACAGTACAGACTTGAAACAGTGTAGCGAGATTTTGTGCTAAACATAAGTTAGTTAAGAAAGCAATAAAAACAAACGACCCAAAAAAAACTACCAAACAAAAATGAAAGAGAACTCAGGTTCCAAAATAGAATTTGTGTGGTCTGTCTTGCTGTAATATGCCGTTGTGGTGTTGATATTCAGTTACAACTAATTGTGGTGGTATGCAGATGATGTATTCAGTACCCATTGCTACTGCAGTGTTAAAATGTCTTATTGTTTAAGTCTTCATCCATGCCATGTAGTCTGTTATGTGTAGTTAGATGTAATCATCTTTTTTGTGTTTGTCTTTGCCTGATTGCTTTTGCAACCAATATTGCCCGTGCTGCCTCTAACCTTTATACAAATCTCTGTTCCCCAGGCATTCTCTTCCTGCTTTTACCTGTCACGGCTTGCTTTTAATAATTGGCAAATCCTGCATGATAAACTCACTGGGAAAGGCTACTTGCTTCATGCTGTGGGAGAAGTCTCCCTTCATAGTTCGTTGGTCCTTTAATTCTGCGAATGTTATGAAGATGCACAGTTTTTTGTAAACGGGGCTTCTCAACATCCTGATGAGAGACAAAGGTGATCTGAGAAACATTTTGCACCAGTTGTCACTCGTGTCAAAGTAAAATGAGCTTCAAAGATGGAGTGGTTATTTCTGTGCAAAAAAGAACGTACGTAACATTATAACAATCTAACCCTTAATTCAGTCTCTCCTAAATGAGATCTTCAGGTCTGCAGTACATACCCTATCCCAGCACATGGTGCTGGATATTTGTGGGGACTGCATACTGGACTACATGAATAATGAATCAGATCCAGTTTATTGCAGTATGCTCCATTTTTACTTTTCTCCAATATGACCTCTCTCTGATGAGTACAAGTAGGGCACTGACATTGTGTGACATTGTGTAAAGAGGATTTGACTGAAGGAATGGGACACTGATGTTTTGCTCTGCACTTGAAGAGAAAACAGCAATATAGACGCAAGTTACTGCAACACATTCACTAATCAATGTAGATGGATGAAAAGAACGTACTCTCATCTTTGACTCATTTTATAAGAGAACTCCCTTTATAACTTCAGAGGATTTGCTGTCCTCAAGAAATTAACCTGCCCTCATGCAAATCTTTGCAAGTCTTTTGTTTTTAGTAATGTGCAAATGCCTTTGCTGCAGAGCTCAATGTTGTCTTCCATATGCGTGGAAACTGTGTCAAGAATGAAAATGGTATGATACATCACGTTTCTGACCACGGACTGATAAAGAAAAATGTTCATACATGCAAGTGAAGAGAGCACAGGAGATACGGTGTCAGTATCCATAGTCAGGCAGGATAAGGAAAGCATGTAGAGCCACAGCCTTTGAAGAACCCATGTGTTTTTTTTCATGAGAAAATAGATATTTTTTTAATATACAGTCAATTATCTATAAGGCATGAATTCTGTTGCAGGATTTTTCTTTACTGTAAGCTGAGTTAGTTTATATATATATATTATATATATCATGTAGCTTTTCAAAAAAAATTTCTCTGCCACTTGTTTCTGACTTGCCTTGCAGCTGACGTTTTGGTACCTTCATTATAATAACTGGGCATACTTATTCCTTCAGATATTTCAGACAAGGTTATTCAGAAAAAGTGAATTATACCCTCTTGGGTTTCTAAGCCTGTTACCTTCCCCCACATACGGATGCTTCAGAGGTCCTCTCCCTGCTTATTTTAATTTCAGAGAAGTTTCAAGGGATGGAGGACAGGCAACACAAGTACAGAGCTGCATAGTAATTAATCAGCAAGGGTAGAATACCTTATTTATATTTGCAAAATAAAGCTGTACTTCAGCTTCTGAGAATAAATTATGTAAGTTTGTACCATGAGCAGATTTTATCTGGTTAGCATACTTGGAAGAGCTGTGTCATTAGGACTGTATGTCTAGCAGTTCAGGTCACACGTTAACACATTACTGCCTCTTCTTTTCATTCCCTCAGCCATGTGAGTGGACACAGTTTAGGTAACAGGGTGTGTGGTGTGTAATCCTTTGGGCTAATGATACATGTGGGAGAATGCTGGCACAGAGTAATGGCTAGCAAAGTCCTGAGCCTTTTTCCTATCAAATGACCAAAAAAAAACAAACACAAAAAAAAAAAAAAACAAAAAAAAAACAAAAAAAAAAACCACCACCACCAACCACCCCCCTTGAGATTCCCCAAAATTGAACACAACTTTTTATTGTTGATTGGTAGGCATGCAGATGTTGTGCCTGAATGTTAATGGTGCAAAGTGATGAATACTTTTTGTGGTATGGAGGAATAGCACAGAATAGGGACTTAGAAGTCAGCCTGGTAACTCTGTTTCATTCAGGATAAAATTAGCCTTAAAATGCTCTTAAGAATAGAACTAAATCAAATGACAAAAATATTTTTTCAAATATCTTAGCTGTGTTTCAGGGGTTATAGCTACTTGGTTAGCCAAGTGACTAAAAGGATTTCACTGTGATACCATGAAGTTCTTGACAGTGCAGGTGAAAAAACAAATTCTTTTTTTTCCCATTTTCCCAGTAACGTTTTCCTAGTTAAAACGTACAGTAATCTCTTCGAAAGTTACCAGAAGGTCCCTTCTCTTCCTTTTGACCTTTTCACATCTTCTGTCCAGTACTGCTCTCTTTTACCTGTTGACACACTGGGTGCCATAGTCTGAGATAGAAATCACTGAAACGTCACAAGTTGAGCTCGTGAGAACAATATATTGTTAGTCTTTAGAAATGAGCATACAATACAAGGTTACATGAAATAGGTAATTCAGTTGGTCAGATTGTTGGATCACACCTAAGTTTTAGAAAGATTTCAGAGTAATAAAACGAAATATATTAATACCAAAGAGAGAATCCGGTATCAGGATGTATTTTAATGCAACTCAGTGTTTCATTAAGTTGTCTTTAATTATAGCAATAATTATTAAAAAGTAATAATGCTCTTCTTGAATGTGCATCTTTCAAATGGACAGATAGCAGCAGCCGTTGGGAATTAGCAATTACTTGTCATGTCTCAAAGACTGATGGTTGGACTTGGTGATCCCAAGGGTCTTTTTCAACCTAAATGAATCTCGACTGCAATGGCTTTTGGCTTGTAGGTGATAACACTAGCGACTATCTCTCAACCTACAGGCATCTTTTACAAGATGAAGGAAAAGGTTTATAACACAATGGTTTTAAACAACTATATATGCTAGACAGACATGCCGCATATATGAGATTTTGAGTTATCTTAGAAGAGCACTGATGTATGAAAAATAGTTTTGTTTTTAAGGCAGTTGCTACTAGGTGCAATTGCTGTGAGTTCTGCATTATAAACTGTAGCATTTATCGTCAGAGCTTTTTTTTTTTTTTTTCCTATTATAAGAAGGTGCATCTTGGGTAACCTGGCTCTTTGTCCACCTGTCCTTGAAAACTGTAGCAATTCTGTAGGTTCCCTATGCTATTTTTTAACTGTATGTAACAGTTAAGTTTGAGATTAGGGAAAATATAACTTTCTTGTTACTTATTGCCTTTTTCTCTGTACTCAGTGAATAGGAAGAGCAATTATTTTGATTTTGGCTAATTTTATGTGTTTGAAAATTCTCCCCCAATTCTCTTCACACAGAAAAATTTCCCTATTGTGCACACATTTGAAATATTCCGTGCTAAGTCAAAATCACAGTCCGTCTTTGCATGCTGAAGAGTTAATGTGATCTCCCTAGCGATCTGCTATCGCTCTTGAGTATTGGTCTAGCAGTTCTTGGTTTACATTCTGATGCTTCATTTATCACAATCCACACATTAGAACTGATCTACACGCTTATGGCAGTATTTGGAAATCTGCAATTATTTTTTCCTTCCCTAATGAGTAATTAAGCCTCTTTGCCATAGATGCAGAAATCTCTTTTTTTTTTTTTTTTTTTTTTTTTTTAAGAAAAAAAAAAAAAAGAAAAAATCAACATTATCAACTGTAAATGTTTGTCTGATACCAGCTGGGAGTTCAATAGTGCCACAGAATGTTATTCAAGCTTTATAAATGAGTCATTGAAGGCTTGACTGACCTCTCCTCAGAATCATTCTTTTCCTATTCTTCCTAATTATATCTTTTCTGTATAAAACTTGTCATCATCAAACTAACCATAAAGCTTCCAATTAAGAAGCAATACGCTTCCCCCACTCTTTTTCAAGATACTGTTATATTAATATCCCTTAATTGAAAGGGAAGGATTTCTTTGTGTTTTAGTGAAAAGCCTGGGGATTGCATCAAATATGGTTTAAAGTTGTTGGAATCCTAATAAGCAGAACCTGATCTACAAGCTAAAGGTCTGCAGAGGGATTTATATTGATAAAGTACATTTGTAGGAGGCCCTTAGCTCTCTCCTGAACGTGTGCAAGTTGGATGGAACAGAAGAAATTTAATTAAATAATCAGCTCATCTCAAGGGCCTTTTTTTTTTTTTCTTTCTTGATTATATCAAGAAACTTAATGAATAAGAATGCAGTGGAACTACCTAGATAATGTATATAACTTGCCTCTTGGTTAAGCTATCCCTTTATCTTAGGCAGGAAATTAATCTTTTGGGCTATAGATTTAAAGAGAATTGCCTGTATCAGAATTTTGCGTGGGACACAATTATTACAGAAAAATGCCAGTTTCCCCATCTCAGTAGAAACGTGTGCGTCTTTCTGCCAGAGATAAGAAGTTGTCTTTTTTCAGTCAGGCAGGGTTGTCTCTGATAACCCCTGATGTACAACAACTTGGATTGTATCAGGCTAGTTTCAGACATGGGTGGAAGGTTTTCTCTTGTGTGCTCGTTCTGAGGTGTGAATTTTATCCCCCATAGTTGCGATATTGTATAACTTGTCTTGTGCTGTAACAGCTATAAGCAGATTAACAACTTAACTCTGACCCTAACGTGGTCAGTAGTCACCATACACTACTCCACTCAGGTATAATCTATCAAGGCAATGTTGCTTCTGTTCTTGAAGTCTAAGAAGTTTGTCTGCTGCCTTGAAGTCCAAGCGTTTTCCTCTCTGAGACCTAGCTCTTTGATGGGTTGTTTATGTGCCATATCAAATCACCTTTCAGAGCGTTTGGTGAACAGCATCTAACACCTGCAGGATAGATGGCACCACTGATCATTCCTGTAAGTCTTTGCCCACGCTAATGGTGTACTGGATTTTTTTGTCCTTCACAAGTAATTTTTATCATTATTGTTGTTTGTAGTTTTATTTTATGAGCTGGGTTTTGGTTGTGTCAGACTAAATCCTTTTGGGTGCTTCTCAAGGCACATAGCGAAAGTAAAACTGCAAAATTTTGTGGGACCATACAGCAATTAAATTTCTTTTGTTCAAACTAACTGCTTGTCACAATTAAGCATAATTTCTTTTGAACCAAATTCCAGGGTTATATTCTAGGAAGAAATGTGGTGGGGCAGGGAGCTCTCTATTCCATTAGTGTTAAATAATACCTAGTGAAAGAACGCTGGGGTTTTCATTTCTTTGTACAAAGAGGTGAGATGAAAATGATAAGTTAAAGTAGACAAGTTAAGAGAAAATAAATACCTTTTAGACAACAGAATTGATGGTT